CACCTGTTAGTCCACCAGCGTAATCTTTTAAGCCTGCTTGGCCCACTGGCAGAACATTGGCGTCCTCGACATAGTGACGTAGGTCGTATAGAGTGGGTTTTTTTTTTGGGTCAGCCCGGTTAGGATAACTGCAGTCGTACTTGTTAGGTCGCATATGTAGGCGCAGACGTGTGTGGTATAATATTTTGTCGGTAGAACTGTTTGTATTTGCCCGGAACAATTGTCGTAGGTCGTCCGCTCTTGTAGGCGGACATCTTCGACGTTAGGCTTCTTTTATCGGTAAAAGTATTCGCTCCCGATCCATAATATCGTCGAACCCACGAAAGTTATGTACAAGCATAAGGGTTCTGTAGATGATTATATCCGTATAATGGTAGGAACTTATTTTCGTTGTTTCGTTGTAGAGAATTAAATCGGTAAAACAAAGTGTGACAGAGCTATACGGTACGGGACAGTCAAGCGACCCTGTATACGCAAGTTGTAGGCGCAGATATATTTAAACGCAAGTTGTAGGCGGTGTTCGAAGACCAATGTGCAGACGTCTGAAGCACAGACTCTCTTACGCCTTCTGCGCTTAGCCCACTAAGCATTCTGCCTATGTTATCTGCACACTTGCGAATCGTTACCACCTACCGCGGCTGACACCATCCGATTCTTTCGTCCAGTCTCGGTTGCTAGCTAATAAATTAGGAATCTGTGAATGGCCGACAGCTCGGTCCACTCTCGCCCCATGGCAGCCCAGGGCGCAGAGGATGGAGAAGAAGACCTGGAGGACGTTGAAAATACTGACCAAGACTACGCACAGGATCGCGAGAACGATAGCGAGTTTGAGGCGACCGAGGAGGATTTGTTTCAGGGTGGTCTCTACGAACCATCCGTCCGGATTCAAGTCCAGGGGAGTGAAGAAGAGAGTGAAGGGCCGGGAGGCGATGGAGTGCGCCCACGACCCGGTGCACCCGAAGAACGGTACGAGGAGGATGGAGATCACTCTGACGCAGAAGAGGAGGGAGAATCATCGCCGGGACGACGACGACCTCCCGATTCTGCGAGCCATGTCGAGCAGGCTGCGGCCCCCGGAAATGCGCAGCGGCAGACCGACGTTGCGGAAAAGGAGAGCAGGATCCGGCGTTCAACAATCCCGCTTCGACTGATAGAGGCCGGGACGAGAAGGCACTATTGTTTCCACTTTCTACACTTCAAGTGGTGGGTGATAATCTTCATGGCAACTATGGTAGATGTCCCTGTGGCAGATAGCCTTGCTCCCTCTCTGCATGATGAGGTTGGGTTTCATATGAGCAATAACTTGGGAAACGATGGGTGGTCGTGCAGCTCTGACGAGTGGCAGATTCATCTGCACGGGCCGCGAATCACGGAATGGAGGCTCGGCCGATACATCGAGTATCTCTTCTGCGAAACTGACGAGCAGGCAAAGTTTTTGCGTGGAAAAATGCGGCCAGACATCGAGAAATATGTGGGGAAGGAGGCAAAGGGGTGCACGGCTTCAATGATCAAGGCAAAGATGAACGCAATGGGATGCCTTGCCAGGTGCGAGGCGAGGCTCTACGGCTTCTCCATCACACTGACCAAGGACTGGATCAAGGATGCTCGGGATTATCTCAAAGTCAAGCTGAAGGATCTGAACGACGAGCAAGTCGCGTGAGTAACATATACGTGTGCTTTCTGTTTGTGTGAATGTTGTTGTACATGGTTTACATAATTACTGTGCTATTCTATGCAGGGATGGTCGAGATCAAACCCGTGGATCAATTGGTGATTGCTATACGGGAAGCCAGTATAGGACGCTGCATCTTACTGTCCTGCGAAAAGAGCTCCTAGAGATCTGGTGGCGGACGCCTCCGTCACAAATCTCGCTTCCTCTCTGGAAGGCTCTGCAAGTCCCGGTTATGATGCACCTCGGACACCAATTTCTCGGAAGAGGGTGCAGCATTCGAAAGATTCGACTTGGAAACCTGTTTGTCCGCATGACGCGGAGCACATCACACCTCGACGACTATCTAGACGTTTTCATACTCGTCGTTGTTTCCAGGAAGTCGAAGACCAACCCCAACAACAAGCTGAGTCATCAGTTTCTTGCAAGGCATAGGGACTGGCGGCTCTGCGGAATGGGCCATGTGTTCCTGTGGCTTTATTTCATCTACGACCTCGTTCCTCTGCGCTACGGCCCCGGTATCGTCGAGCCTCTCGACTTTTCTGAACCGATCTTGTGGACGAAAGCGCACCTCTTCTTTTCTTTGAAGAAGGGCGACCAGGGAAAGCAGAAGCAAGACGAGATGCACTACAAAACGCATAACACCTGGATTAAGTGGGCCATGACGAAGGCGAGATGGATTCTGAGCAAGGTAACACATGCATTCCGCAGATCCGGAGCGCAACAACTCCATGACGACGGTTGCTCCGACAACGATATCGGCACTCTGGGCGGATGGGCGCAGGGGGAGTTGCGGAGGTGTTATGTGTTCGGCATACCGTTCAAGCCGGTTTGGCTGCTGGCAGGATTCAGCGGGGATCGTGGAGACTACTACATCGGCAGAGCCCGCGCCAAGCTTCCGCGGCATAAGGTTAAGGAGAAGGATGAGTGGTTGCAGCTCTTGGATCTCTTGAGGCTTCACATCTTCCCCTGGGTCGAAGAGGGTTGGAAGAAGGTACGTGCTAGTGTACAGTCTTCGCGTTCGTAGCTTAATTTTGATACGCAATTATGAACCGTCCCATTTCTCCTGCATACTCGTCCCGTCAGGTCGAAGAATGGAACGCTGCGCAGACCGATCCGCTGAAGAGGCACTATGCCGGGGCGAGGTTCCTAGACACCCTCGCGAGCATCGGACGCCTCGTTGGTGCACAGGATCTGGCTATGATGTGGGCGTTCTGCCATCAGCACGGCGTGAGAAACCCGCGGTGCAATTGCGAGAGGCATCCATATGTGCAGATGAGCCCCTTGCGCAACCACCCGCTGTTCCAAAAGTGGGTGTACCTGGTCGCTATCTCTCACTTCCAGGGCGAGAAGCTTCGGGCAACCGGCCAAACCACCGCCAAAGCAGTAAGTGCATGCTATTAGTGGTAGAGAGGAGTTATTCGTTCATGCTGAGTTCTGCCGTGTTGGTTTCTGCAGGATGCTATTTTTCGCACGACCGCAGAAGAGAAGCTGCATAAGATGCACCTCACCGCCAATATGCTCAGGGAGGAGCTTGGGATTTTGAGAGGACGTGAAATGCAGTTGGCGATGGAGAACGCTGAACTGAGGGAGAAACTCGCCGCTGAGCGAGAGGACAAGGCTCGGGTCATTGCAGAGTTCGAAGCATACAGGAGGTCTGTTGCGGCCAGGGATGACGCGGCAAACACCTCTGCAGAGATCGACGGATCGTCGAAGAGCGCGGGAACAGGAGGAAACCAGGCAACGGACGCATCCAAAGCACCAGTTGCCGTCGAAGAATTCTTCGTCGTGGTCGTTGTGTCTTGGCGCGAAGCCACCACTGTTGCTGCTGCCTGGAAAGTGTGGGTGCAGCCAAGCCTCATCATGGGCGGCCGGTCACTGCGCGAAGTCTTTGCAGAGTTCGACCGGTATAAGAAGAAGGACAAGAATTCCAGCTTCATCACCGCATATTCCCGGTTCGCTGTCAAAGGTACGCCCGGGATGGCTGTGGGTGCATGCGAGCGAAAGATGCGTCGCGTGCATCGTGTCATGGTTTCCGTGGAGACGCTAAGAAAAGACAGCTCCGAGGCGGCGACCGCAACGGCCATTAAGCTGCTGGACGAGGTTTTACTCGTGTGCAACTTCACGGAATTCACCAACGGCCTGGCTGTGCTGCATGAGACTCCGACCATCAAGAAACAGAAGACCGGTTCGTCGACGGAAAAGAGGACCGTCAACGACTTGGCGCAACGCAGAGTGGGCTGGCTGTTAGTCAAGAAGGGCCTTCGCGACCAGGAGTGGGCAACTTCGCTGTTTGGTGATGATGAGTGGGAGGAGATCCACAAGGAACACATGGCGCAGGAGAAGGCGAAAGAGGAGAAACAACGAACCGATGCGGCGAAGAAGGCGGAACGGGAAAAGGCGAAGGGCGAAGCGTCGAAACGCAAGGAGCAGAAATGAGGGGGCATGTACCTTAAGGGTGGGGCGGTTTAGTTATTTGGGTACTTTATTCCGGTTGTACTGAATATGCACTACAGGCACTTGTCTGTCTCTGTAGAAGCCCGATTTGGGGCTTGTATGCCACCTTCTTCCCTGGACGCGCTGTTTTTCGTAGAATGTTTTTCTGGTGTATGCAATGAAGCACACATCGATGATATACACCGGGCGAAATTCTGCGGAGTCATGTCGTATCGTATACGATGTTATTCTATAGAGCGGCGTCAAAGATTTCACTCTCACGATTGTAGATGTGTGTTCTTAGGTCACTCGGTAGACTTTTGCGTGGATTTATTCAGTCTCAGCATATGTTTCTGGGCAAAGGAGTGTCATATTCTACTAGTAGCAACGAAGATCCTATCCATGACGGTAGATATTATCAATACGTGGGTTTTTCTGCGGTATAGTGGCGTTTCCGATTTGCCTCCAGAATTCGGCGTCGAGGAATTCAATCTCCATAGCAGAAAGGTCTGTGCATAGGAATACCGTATACGTTCTTAACAAGGTGCTCCCTAAGACAAGATGTTATGCAATTGTTTAGCCCCATACTTCTACCTCCTCGTAGAAGCCGAGTATTAAACGTAGATTAAGTGTCGTAGAAGGCCGTCCTGTCGTCAATTATTTTATTCGCCTGGCCCTCCCTTTGATGGCGAGTTCTATCGGCTGCATTGCTAGCTCCATACGCGCCCTACAAATTTTGCTAGTGTAGTGAAGGTTCGCATAGCAAAAATACATCTCTCATTGTATTGTATACAACAACACCTATATTTATACACGGTTAAATAAAAAAAAAGAAAAGGAAAATCTTTTTCTACTACGGTACTAACAAGACCTCCAAAGAACCCGTCTGCCTTTATCACTCCTGGCCGCCAGTGCTGGTGTTCTCCTCCGTCGACGCATCCTTCGTCGCGTTCCCCTTTGCGGACGATTTCTTGGTTTTCTTCTCCTTATCCGCCCCTGTTGTGGTATCCCGGCCGCCCAACTTCTTCTGCAGGACTCCGAGCCAGACGCCCTGGTGCTGGCGAAGGCCTCTTGATGCCATGCTGCATAGGCACCAAGAGGTCACCACCTTTGCCACCACCCTCGTCATCCGCTTTGCATCCTCGGCCGCTCGCGACTCTGCCGGAAGCGCTTTCAGCAGCGCATCCGACAGGGGCAGAATCCACGCTTCCTTGTCATGCTCCTGATCCTTTACCGACCTCATCGCCTCAACCGCAACGCAAGCAACCGAGGCTGCAAGCGTCGCAAGGGCATTGTGGACGGCAGAGGGCACATCGGCCGCAGAAGATGACGAGGCAGCCGACGAGGCGGTGGCAGCAGTGGACGATCTGGTAGCAGAAGATGCTATGGCCGTAGAAGTTCCACGTGCAGCTGTTGTTGCGCCCGTCTCCCACTGGGTCTGGTCCACATTCGTGGATGCGGCCCACATTACAGACAACGTGGCGGCAAGTCCGATTGCGTGTTCTTCCGTCGAATAGCCGTTTTCACCCTCCACGCCTCCCACCATCTTCTGCCACGCAGTTATTCCGACACCAGCGCAGGAAGCTACCTGAAAGCCATCCCCCTGCTGCTGCCGAAGAGCCGTGTTGGTTTGAACGAGTGAGAATCTGCACAAGACACCAGTGTCGCAAGATCAGAACCATCAAACTTCGCGGGTGTTTAGAAGTTGCAACTGTCCATCACATAAACACTCACCCGTCCGGTTTGTCCAGGTGGAGTTCGTTGATGACGCTCCACACCCCTGTTGGAAGCCACGTTGTGAAGTCGAGGTCTTCCCGCCACTTGTTAATACGGTTTGGATTCATGCCGTATGCCTGCATGTCAATATCCGGGAAGTAGAACTTCCAGCAGACTGCGACCGTGTATGCCCTCTCCCACACCGTTTTGTGAGAGCCGAGGTTCCGCTTCCGGCCGCCGACGGTCTGCTCAGACGTCCACTTCTGCAAAGCTCCCTCGCCCCGTTGAGAGAACCCGCTTCCCCTGAACGGTAGGCAGACACCCAAAGTCTTACCCTTGTCGTCCACTGCGGCGTTTTTCCTGTTGTCACACTTGTCGATCTTCATCCCTTTCTTTTCCCCTTGGATTATGGGTATCAACTCCTGTATTCCAGCTGCACGCCGTCTCTTAGCCGCATGACCCTCCGGCTCCCTGTCCTCTTGTCTAGGCCGCCTCCTGGACACCTCTACATTCCGTACAGGAACACTAGCCACGCCCTCTACTACATTCGCCTCCCCGCTCTCAATCAACAGCAAACTCCCCAGCCCCTCAGCTATTTCCTCCTCGGCTCCTGTCCAGGTCCCCTCCCCCTGCATGGTCAAATCCTCCTCTTCCATCTCCCTTGCCGATCGTTCCGTCTCTTCAGCCATCGCCTTTGCCTTTGCCTCCAGTTGCCACTGCTGTTCCGCGTAGGATGCAAGTCTGGCCCTCTTCTCTGCTCGGCACTGCTCCGCCTTCTGCAGGCGCTCCATCTCCTGCTGTTTCGCCCTCTGCTGCCGCTCGGCCTCTTCTGCCTCCTTCTTCTGCGCTTCCTCCTTCTGCAGGCGCTCCATCTCCTGCTGTTTCGCCCTATGCTGCCGCTCGGCCTCCTCTGCCTCCTTCTTCTGCGCTTCCTCCTTCTGCAGGCGCTCCATCTCCTGCTGTTTCGCCCTCTGCTGCCGCTCGGCCTCCTCTGCCTCCTTCTTCTGCGCTTCCTCCTTCTGCAGGCGCTCCATCTCCTGCTGTTTCGCCCTCTGCTGCTGCTTGGCCTCCTCTACCTCCTTCTTATGCGCTTCCTCCTTCTGTAGGCGCTCCATCTCCTGCTGATTCGCCCGCTGCTGCCGCTCGGCCTCCTCTGCCTCCTTCTTCTGCGTCTCCTCCTTCTGCAGGCGGTCCAATTCCTGCTGTTTCGCCCTCTGACGCCGCTCTACCTCCTCTGCCTCCTTCCTCTGCCTCTCCTCCTCCTGCAGGCACGCCATCTCCTGCTGTTTCTCCCTCTCCTGCCTCTCGGCCTCCTCTGCATCTTTCCGCTGCGCCTCTTCCTTCTGCAGGAGCGCCATCTCTTGCTGTTTCTCCCTCTCCACCCGCTCTGCTTCCTCTGCCTCCTTCCTCTGCGTATCCTCCTTCTGTCGCCGATCTCCCTTCGTTGCCTTCCTACCCTACTCCTCCTTTTGCCGCCGCTCTGCGTCCAATCTCAGAACCATTGACAGCCGCTTTTCCACCTCACTTAGCATCCCCTCCTTCCACCCCTTGATCCCCGTCTTCATCTCCTTCACAGCCTCCATCACTTCCTTCATTCCCGCCTCCACCTCCTTCTGCCGTCGCTCTTCCTCCTGATGTTTGTTCTTCCTCCGCCGCTCTGTGGCCTCTACATCCTTCCTCTTCACCTCCTCCTCCTTCCGCCATTGCTCGTCCAGTTGTTTCCTCTTGTGTCTCTCCTCGTCGTCCGCCACTTGTTTCCTATTCGCGTCCTGCTGTTGTCGCCGCTCCGCGTCCACTTGCCTCTCCTTCTGCCGCTCGGATTCTTCTCGCAAAACCGCGCTCAACCTCCCCACAATCTGGTTTACCATCCCATCCTTCATCTCCTTCATTTCTGCCTTCATCTCCTTCATCATCGCCTCCTTCATCTCCTTCATTCCCTCTCTCATCTCCTTTTGCCGACGCGCTTCCTCCTGCTGTTGTTCCTTCTTCCGTCTCTCTGCGGCGTCTGCTTCCTTCCTCGTGGCCTTCTGCTTCCGCTCCTCATCCTGCAGTCTATCCCTGTTCCGCCGCTCAGAGTCTTCTCTCAGAACCTCTCTCAACCTCTCTTCCACCCTCTTTAACGTGCCCTCCGCCATCCCCCCTCCCGACTGGCGAACCTGATCACTCATCCTTACGATACTCTCCTGCAAGTTGGAGAGTCTCGTGTCCACCTCCTCGCGAAACCTGGTCGCCGTTTCAGCTTGGCGCCGCCGTTCCTCGTTTCCATGGCGGACTTCTTCCAGGTTGGCCAGGGCGTCGCGACAGTAATGGACGGTCAGATCGGCCACGTCGCGACTGATGCTGCTGTTGCGGGCCGCCAAGTTGCAGAACGTCTGCGTCACCATTTGGGCTAAGAGCGTCAGACGATGCGTTACCTCTGCCGGGCTTATGTCCCAGCTTTCGGCCTCGACGAACCTGTCACCTTGTTCGACCAAGACTGTACTCGTCCGATGCAGCATCCGCCGTATTGCCGTCTCTGCCTCGACCCACTCTACCTGCCAAAACGCTTCTGCCACCCCGCCTTGGCCGAGATTCCTCTCCACTGCTCTCTGGTGAAGGGTGGGCCGCCTTTGCCTGTTGAGATCCACTGTATCCCTAGGCGCCCCATCGTCTGCCACCCTCCATGGCCCCTCTACCCCGGTTCCTGGTCCCCGCGTCGGACTTCCTCCCAAAAATATCCGGACTGCCGGATGTACCGTATCCTCCTCATTCTGCTCCTCTTCTGTTTCCAGCGCATCTCCCTCGTAGTGCCCCACTCCAGCCTCCGGGACGACACGAACCTCCTCCATAGTATTTTGACGCCCTGTCTCTGCCATGCTCTGCGTCTCTCGGTATGCGAATACCTGCGACGCTGCCTCCTCGTTATGCTGCCCCTCTTCCTCTGCGATGATGTGCCCCTCAGCACCCGCCGTCTCCCGTCCCTCTGTCTGTACCATTTTATTCCCATCTGAACCGTCCTCTCCATCTGGCTTCCTACGTGCGTCTGCCTCAGCCTGCTTCTGCTCCTCGGCCTCTGCCATCTTCTGCGCCTCACCCTCTGCCTTCTTCTGCGCCTCTACAACAGCCTTCTTCCGCGCTTCTGCCCGAGCCAGTTGTAGTGCCTCTTCCGCAGCCTGTTTCTGCTCCTCTGCCTCCGCCTTCTGCCGCACCGCTGCTTCTGCCTTATTCCGAGCCTCTCCTTCCTTATGTGCGTCTGCCTCCTCCATATGCAGCGCCGCTGCCTTATCCTTCTCCCTCGCCGCTGCCTCTGATTCCCTCTGCGCCTCTGCCTCAACCATGTTCGGCGCCGCACCCTCCTCCTTCTGCAGCGCCGCTGCCTCTGATTCCTTCTGCGCCTCTGCCTCAACCATGTTCGGCGCCGCACCCTCCTCCTTCTGCAGCGCCGCTGCCTCTGATGCCTTCTGCGCCTCTGCCTCAACCATCTTCGGCGCCGCACCCTCCTCCTTCTGCAGCGCCGCTGCCTCTGATGCCTTCTGCGCCTCTGCCTCAACCATCTTCGGCGCCGCACCCTCCTCCTTCTGCTGCGCCGCTGCCTCTGATTCCTTCTGTGCCTCTGCCTCAACCATCCTGGGCGCCGCACCCTCATCCTTCGGCTGCGCTGCTGCCGCTGATTCCTTATGTGCGTCTGCCTCATCATTCTGCTGCGCCGCTGCCTCATCCTTCTGGCTCGCCATTGCCTCTGATTCCTTCTGCGCCACTGCCTCCACTACCATCAGCTCGACTGCCTCCGACGTCAGCTCTGCTGCTGCACCCGCTTCTTTACGCGCGACTGCCTCCGCACCCTTGACCGCCTCTGCACCCACCTTCTGCTGCGCCGCAGACTCTGCTTCCGTTGGCGCCCCGTCCATTGCCGTAAGTGCCGCCTCTGCATCGACGAACTGATGGGCCGCATCCTCTGCATTCTGGTGCGCCTCTACCTCCACCATCTTATGAGCCTTAGCACCAGCGTTGCTCTCCTCCTTCTTTTTCGCCTCTCCCGAATTCTCTGGCACGTCGACGTCCCCTCTCCGGGCCTCTTCAGCCGCCTTCCGCTTTAGGCTGGGCAAGCGAACTTTCACGTATCCCCTATCCTCCTCGATATGCTGCCGCACATTGCTGGCGAGCTCCTCTCCTGCCTCTCCCACGTGTGCCCTTGCAGCGGCTCGTGCCCCACGCTCCCATGCTTCACGTATGTCTCCAGTTCCCGGGAAAGAGACGGTAGGATCGGTGTCGCCATCACTGCGCCGTTGCATCTCTTCAGCCCGTCTACTCTTGGCTTCTGCTTCGCCCATCCGCTTTTCATCAGCCGCCTTCCTCCACTGCTCCTCTGCCTGTTTGACCTGACTTGGCAGCTGTGGATCTTCTACACCCTCCTCGCCTTCATCTGCTACACTTGCCAAGTCGGTCTCCGTCCGTGCTTCGCGTTCCCGCGGCCTCCTAACCCGATCAGCAAACCTGAGCTGCCTAACTCCAGACCTATCACGCTCGTCCGCAGTGGCTGACCTTGATGTCGGGCCACTCAGTAGTGCATCCCCCGGTGCAGGTCGGCGGGAATATGAAATAAACCCAACTCTTGGATTTGCGTCCCGGTTTGCGGCAGGTACGTCTATCTGTCCCTCTACCGCTTCGGATCTGTTCTGTGCGGGTGCGCTCTCTACCACTCGAGCACAGTGGGTCGTCATGACTGCATCCGGGGCGGGACGGAGCTGGACTCCTTGCAGGTTGAAGAAGGCCCTGCAGGTCGACTCCAGCATACTCCGAATTTCTTTCGCGCTGTTTTTCCCCTTCCCTAAGACCATCATCGGCTCTACATACTGAATCGCCATGACATCCCCCCATTTGTCCAGCAACTTGCTTAACACATGGGTAACGTGCAGCCCGGAACCCACTTGCCTCTGTCCCTAAACCTTGTTGATCTGCAACATGTGCGTGAAAAGGTGGTTGTCAGACACTCCCGTTACTTTTTATAAGCTTAATATCATACAACGCTTAAATCATAAAAATAGAGCCTCCTTCCTTACACTGCCTTCCTCCAGAATCAGATCATCTAGGCGAGCCCTCAAATCTTTCTGCACCGCTTCGGCGTGGCTGCCAGATGTCAGAATATATTTGCTGTCTAGCCTGCAGTGGGGTACTCTGTAATGAGTACAACCCAATTTAGGGCATTGTACTTGTATCCCAACCCTTCCTAGTGAAACCACTTCTCCTCTTCCAAACCTCTCGATACTTTCCTAACCCTCTCGAACTCGATCACCTAGGCACCTAAACTATGGCTTCTAAGCCTACCTTTGCTTAAGATTCTGAGATGGTATTAGAGCTTAACGCTCCTGGCCTGTGGGCCCACTCGATTCCGCTGCCCTATTGTGTGTCGTGCGCCCCGTGGCGCACGACCACCGTTTTTTCTTCCCGCCACGCGCTCGGGGCGCGTGGCGGTTTTCTGCCCGCCGTGCGCCCCGAAGCGCGCGGCGGGTACCTACCTCGTCGCGGCGTCTTGGGAGCCCGCGCGCTGGCCCCGACCGTCGCCTCGTCGCGGCGTTTTGGGGGCCCGCACGCAGGTCCCTCCCGTCGCCTCGTCGCGGCACTTTCGGGGCTCGCGAGCCGGCCCCTCCCGTTGCCTCGTCGCGGCGCCTTAGGGGCCTGCGCGCGGTCCCCTCTCGTCGCCCGTCGCGGCACTTTCGGGGACCTGCGCGGCTCCCTAGCACATCACCCTTCAGGGCACAATGGGGGCCGCGCCCTTCCCCTCCCCTCCGTCCTACTTTCCGCTGCAGCAGCCCCAGCAGCTGCAGCCCCTGAAACGGCCACCGCAGCAGCAGCAGCTCCAGGAGCCGCCGCCCCAGCAGCAGCCCCTGGGGCCGCCCCAGTAGCAGCAGCCCCGGGAGCAGCCGCCCCAGCAGCTGCTGCCTCTGGAGCGGCCACCCCAGCAGCAGCAACTTGTGGAGCAGCCGCCCCAGCAGCAGCAGCCCCGGGAGCAGCCGCCCCAGCAGCAGCAGCCCCTGGAGCCGCCCCAGCAGCAGCCCCGGGAGCAGCCGCCCCAGCAGCAGCAGCCCCGGGAGCAGCCGCCCCAGCAGCAGCCACTGGAGCAGCCGCCCCAGCAGCAGCTGCCTCTGAAGCGGCCACCCCAGCAGCAGCAGCCCCTGGAGCCGCTGCTACTGCAGCCGCCACCCCACCAGCAGCAGCACGTGGAGCAGCAGCAGCAGCAGCAGCCCCAGCAGCTGCAGCCCCTGAAACGGCCACCGCAGCAGCAGCAGCTCCAGGAGCCGCCGCCCCAGCAGCAGCCCCTGGGGCCGCCCCAGTAGCAGCAGCCCCGGGAGCAGCCGCCCCAGCAGCTGCTGCCTCTGGAGCGGCCACCCCAGCAGCAGCAGCTTGTGGAGCAGCCGCCCCAGCAGCAGCAGCCCCGGGAGCAGCCGCCCCAGCAGCAGCAGCCCCTGGAGCCGCCCCAGCAGCAGCAGCAGCCCCGGGAGCAGCCGCCCCAGCAGCAGCACCCCCGGGAGCAGCCGCCCCAGCAGCAGCCACTGGAGCAGCCGCCCCAGCAGCAGCTGCCTCTGAAGCGGCCACCTCAGCAGCAGCAGCCCCTGGAGCCGCTGCTACTGCGGCAGCCACCCCACCAGCAGCAGCACGTGGAGCAGCAGCAGCAGCAGCCGCCCCAGCAGCAGCCCCAGCAGCGGCAGCCACTAGAGCAGCCGCACCAGCAGCAGCCGCCCCTAGCCCCTGCAGCAGCGGCTCATGGACCAGGTGCAGCCGTGGGGGGTGAGTGTTGGGGTGCTAGTTGTGGGGGTGTCGGTTGTGCGTGCCGTCCCCTCCTCCTCCTCCTCCTTCGTCTCCCACTGCTACAGCTCTCGCTGAGGGGGGTGGATGTGTGGGAGACTGGGGTTTAGGGTTTAAGGGGGGGTGGGTGGGAGTGGAGCTAGCGGTATAGCAGCGGGTGTGTGTCGGGGGGTGGGACTGTGTGCGGGAGGATGAGCGGAGGTTGCGAGTCTATTGTCCGCAGCACCTGTAGTCCGGGCGCTTAGTCCGGTAGCCCAGTGAGTTTGTTGCTGCGCCAGTCGCCCGAGGGTCCGTTGCCCGTCTGCCGCTACTTGAGCCGTGGGGCCTGTTACTCCTGTACTCCGGGCGCTTAGTTCGGTAGCCACTGTGCTCGCCACTCCTGTTGCCCGTGTGTCTGCAGCTTCAGCCGCCGCCTTCTATCTCCTCTCCTCTCACTCTCCCTCCTCCTCCTCACTTGCCCGTTGTGACTACCACTAGCTTTGCTGATAACTGTGCACTTTAACTATTGCTTCTTGAACTTGTGCTCAGAATGTGTGGTGACATTGTGATCCACCCTGAGCTTGTACTGCTCTGCCTGCTCTGCTGATTACACCCCACTTTGGCTATGGGGGTGTGTCAGAATATATTTGCTGTCTAGCCTGTAGTGGGGTACTCTGTAATGAGTACAACCCAATTTAGGGCATTGTACTTGTATCCCAACCCTTCCTAGTGAAACCACTTCTCCTCTTCCAAACCTCTCGATACTTTCCTAACCCTCTCGAACTCGATCACCTAGGCACCTAAACTATGGCTTCTAAGCCTACCTTTGCTTAAGATTCTGAGACCAGAGACCCTGCGACCTCGGCTGTATTCCACATCTAGTTGTCGGATAAGCCAGCTGCAGGGCAAGGGGGTCGCAAATAATCAATAACATGCGTCCATACAAACCGCACATCTGATTAAGGAGTGATACTTACTCGAACACCTCCTTGGCATGCTCGCTATGGCGATGGGTTGGGATTGCAGATTTGGGGTCGAAGTGTAGCAGACGCGTACGGTACTCTCCGCGGGGATGTGCTAACAAATCTTGCGGGTTCATCAGCACCATGAGACTGATCGCTGTCGAGTGAACAACAGGGACTCTGCGGTACATGGAAGTTTGGATTAGCAAGATAGCTGGTGTCATCGACAAACGTTGCGGATCCATGTCAGGAAACTCACTCTGATATCATGGGTATTAAAACCATCTGGTAGTCCAACAACGACCGATGTTCGCTGCCACAACTGGGGACACGCGGGACGGCAGACCTCAAACGCCGATGCTCGGTAGGAGCCAGAATCTTTATGTCCCTGCGAACGCGAGGATCCCCAATCTTGTCCTTGGCAACCTCCCTGCATCCAAGACGACATGTCGCAGAGGTAAGAAGATAGCAGGTGCCTGTCTAAAAAAACAAGGGTTCAACGTGACGATGAAGTCAGCGTGCGTTACAAAGCGCGCTTGGATACATACACAAGGCCGAAAAGTAACAACGCCTCGTTCCACTCTTCCTGACGAGCGATTAACCTTTCATAAGACTCCCCGCCCTAGTCGTACCGACAATCCGCAGCCGTCTGTGATTAGCTGGGACGACATCGCGTAAGTATGCCAGAAGATGGCAGGTAGCTAAACGGTTACTACCATACACTGTCCGCCTGCGGGATTAGAGGCCGACACTAGAATGAGAGGGAAGCTTGTGAGGCTAGTTTGTGGAAATAAATGACCAGGAATGAAATGACTAAGCCATTGTTGGGTACAAATACAACCCTAGAAAGCTGTACCCAATATGTGCTACCCCACTATAGCCTACAAACATGTATCAGCTATAATAATCTGACACACCCCCATAGGCAAAGTGGGGGAGAACAAGGGGTCACAAGACCAGTCAAGCAAATCAAAGCAAAGCAAGCTCAGGGTGGATCACAAAGTCACCACACAGTCCGAGCACAAGAGCAGGGCCAGAGGCCAGTTCACATGCAGGAGTACAGACATATATATAAAACTAGACAAGCAGGAGCAGGTATATATATGTCACAGTACAAGTAAAGTCAAGAAGAGAGCAAGTGAGGCAAGACACCCACAAGACCCAGCTGGGTGCAGAAGCGCTCATGGTCACAAGGCGCGAGTGCCTTGGTGAACACATCAGCAGTGTTGGCCTCAGAGGCCACGTACGCAAGTCGCAACTGACCACGCTGCTGCAGCTCACGAGCAAAGAAGTAACGGAGAGCAATGTGCTTTGTTCTGTGCTCCAAGCGCTGCTCTCGACACAAGGCCAGCATGGCCTTGTTGTCTACGTAAAGCACTGGAGGAGAACGAGGCGGCTCTCCAAGGTCAGTCAGCAGGTAGGTGAGCCAGCGAAGCTCCTGTGCAGCCATGGCCCCGGCGTAGATCTCAGCCTCACAACTGGAGCTGAGAACCGAAGACGAACGAGTAGACCGCCAAGAGACAGAGCCGGAACCAAGACTGAAGGTGTAACCCTGTGACGACCGCTGCGTAGCCTGGTCGTCAGCCCAAGAAGCGTCCGCGTGGCCGGTAAGGACCACTGGACTCCGCCCTCCAAGCACTAGCCCCATGCCCGACGTGCTGCACAGGTAGCGCAATACCCTCTTCGCTGCAGCCATGTGCTCTGGTCGGTGTCTCCCAGGAGCAACATAGCGTGCAAGAATGCTCAGAGGGTATGCAAGGTCAGGTCGAGTGCAGGTCATCAGGTACATGAGGCAGCCAACAAGCTCTGGGTACAGGCCACTCGACTCTACGGACTCATCCGAAGGCAGAGCTGAGAGTGAGTGGCGAGTAGACAGAGGAGTGGCCTGAGGCGAGGAGTACGTGAAGCCGAAAGCGCTGAAGGACCTGCTGCACCATGTGTGACTGAGTCAAGGTGATGGTGCGGCGTGCTCTGTCCCGAGTGATCTGCAAGCCAAGGTAGCTACGCAGTTCACCCAGGTCTGTGCACGTGTGTCTCTTCAGTAGCTCGGACTTCACGTAGGCGAGTCCAGCAGTGTCCGCTGTGGCAAAGACCAA